AATGCGTGTTTATACAATTCCGTGCCATCGAAAATGGGACAAATCGAGTGGAGAGGCCTTTGGCCGCCCATTGTTCTATTTAATCGAGAAACACACTATAAAAGAAATGACGCGATATAATAAAATAGAAAAAAAAACATTGATCAGTTGGGCCGGCATCGCGATTAAAATTCAAATCAAATCTGTCGTCATTGTTGAATATTGCTAGAAAATTTGGTTTTGTTGTCAACTCACATGCTACGCATTGATTTACAGTGCATTCGTGAAATGCGCTGCATTTGAGGGTTGAAGCCGTTAACACGTCGATTATTTGAATAATCTGGGATCACTTGGGTGCGACATGATGGCTTTTTTATTTGTTATGATTTCGGGACTTTTTTCGGCTGTCCAAATGAAATGCGGACGTGTTGATAGCACATTTAAATTCACACAATCATTCGAAATGTAAAATTAACAAAACAATCACACACACACACCAACACATATGAGCACTAATGTATTATAAAAGAAAAGCAAATTCTTTTCCGCATTCAAGATTGGTGATCGTTTTCGTAAATTTGTCACAAATCCATTTATTAAACTCACGAACTATGTCCAAAGCACTTTATCACATAGAATGTTTGTCTCTGTTTTAATTTCTTTTCTACATTGGTCTCGCGCACATCCCAAAAATATGCAAAATCCTTTTCGGCTGCTTGACGATAACGACAACAGAACACAAAACAAAACTCGCTCACTCACTCACTCACTCATTCATTCACTTCGGTTGGCCAACAAGGAAAGAAAAACACATTCATCTAGGTAATTGTGATCACTGCAGTCGTGTAATCAGAAACAAACTCATTTACTCTATTCGATTTGTTGATTGAACGAAATATTTTGTCGAGAAATAGAACGAACGCACACACAGTCCTTGAAGTCCAAGCCACAAGGATAATTATGGAATCTTATACTGAATGGAAGTCTAACATACAATTTTCGTCTTCATTTGAATGGAAAAACGGACCGTATACATCTTCTAGATTTCACAGACGAACGTAGACTAATCAGTCACAGGCGAGCGTATCATAGCAAACGATATGCTTCGAAATTTATTTATTATATATATATATGTGTATACACACATGGATGTGTATAAAGGCGAAAAAACAGAGCAATGCAAAGGCAAAAGCACACACAACAACTCAATAAAGACGAAGAGAAGAGAAGAAAAAACACATTATCGTGTATCCGTGTGTACATGCGAATGTTTGTAGCTCTGCTGTGTATTGCCGAACGCGAATCAAACCACCGTGCCAACAGAGATAGAGAGAGAGGGAATGCACGAAGGCGACGGGCGACAAAATACACTGTTGCTCATCACCGCCATCGTCGCCGTCGTCGCTGTTGTCGTCGTTCGGGCGGATGGATATGTATATTCTCACTGGCAGAGCAACGCTATATTATACTTGTACACTCAACTCACTAGTGTCAGTGCTCTTTTTCTCTCCATCTTTCCACCTCTGTTTGCCTTTCTCTCTCTCCCTCGCACATTGACGAAAGCCACCAATTGTTGAATGTGTGCGAACGAGCGGGTGCGCTGTCAATCGCCATGAAATTATATATAATGGTTATTTCACTTTCGTCGGTGTTCGAATTGAATATTGTATCAGTGCTCAACGACGAAACTCAAGTGAAACGCGTAAGCGAATGCAAAAAGACAATCGAACAAACAAAAACAAAAACAAATACCATGATAATAAAAGCTTCTGCAATAATTGCAATTCAACAGATAAATACTTGAATGATATTTAATTATACTCGCAACGAATTGACGATTGGGGGAGAATGTGTGCGCCGCACAACAAGAGCAGTTGCGACGCTTTGTCCATTTAGCCGGCTATGGAAATTTGTATTTGTGTCTCACATCACAGCCAAATTTGCTTATTTTTCCCCAACGATGCCAAGCCAGTTATCAAGTCTTTTTTTTTAGCAACCGATTGCAAAACATCCATTTGAAATCGGTCGACGGCACAAAAGTTTTGCCGTCTTTGTCGAATTTCCATACACGGCCCATTCATATTCATATTTGATCTCATTTGAAATTTCCTACTTCCATATCTATCGAAGCGATTTCGATATCACTCGCTTATTTATCAGATGCTCAAACAAATCAAAAGATTATACGTAAACGAGGAATACCGAACGGTATGTTGTGATCATCAAAAAGGCGGCGGCCATATTGTCTGACAATCACGATCGATTAATTGCCCGTGTGAAAAAAAATGACTGACTGACTATACCTTCAGTTGACTTTAGATGATTGAATTTATGTTTTTGTTTTAAGAAAATCTCTTTGTCCCAAATTAAGCAACTCAGATTGACTTGTAACTTCGAATGATTTCAGTTAACTATAATAGACTTACACTACGCGTTGTACTGAAATGTCAATCAAAGTAAGTCATTTTTGTCTGAAATTAGTTAACTGACTGCTTAGTTACAATATTTGCACACGGGCGCTCAATGTCGAACAGACTCATTCGAATCGATTGCTAAGATAAAAATTTCACAAACGTCAATCATTAAATTGTTCCACATATTTTTTTTCTTCTTCTTCTCTCTATTCATTTGTACATATTAACGGTAATAGAATCGGCCACCTCACCCATTGCTCGCAGGCAAGAAATTAAAATGTAAGATTCTCTGAGATTTAAGAAACAAAAATTAAATATTCATTTGACTTTTTTTTTCGTTCATTCTGTTAAGTTGAGATGAATTGTTCGAATTTGCTGTGTGTCGATCAAATCTTAAGTAAAAAATCTGGCAAATTCTTTCAATAAATTTGGTGATTCGTTTGCGATGTATTAGCATCTTGACAGAGCGAATATGCTCTGAGAGCGCTGAGACGCCGTTGGAATATGGTCGACCGACCGTCGATGATTTATTGAACTTGCAAAATTTCAGCGCAACGATCATAATGATGATTAGTTCGTCCTGCTGTTTGCTTGATTACACATTTCGCCCGACATCGTACGTTCATTACATTTCCATTCATTGTGATTTCCGTGCAAATCCTGCGTACTGTCTATGGCGCAGCTCCTGCCTCCGGTCCCACCGTCGCCACCATCATCACCACCAGTTCATGCCGCTGCTATACACACTGCGCTACTGATCCATTCAATGTTTTTTCAATCGAAAATCGTCTGATTGGATTGTTGTCAAAAAAATCATAATTTCAAATTATTTGTCGCACTCATGTCGCCTGTCGTTCTCCCCCCACCCCATTTCTTCTCTCTTTCTCTTTCTCTTTCTCTTTCTCTGTCTCTTTTTCTCACTCCCTGTTCCTATATCTGGATCGAGTCGATCATTTTTGATTGATTGTGTACTGTACGTGTACACATTATCCGTAACATATCAAGCAGCATAATAGTGTATGTATTTTTAGGAGTTATTTATTTATTAAATTTATTTATTTTTTGTGTGCTTCAAGCACGGCGTTGAATTGGCGACCAACCAACGCAGTTACGCACCTAACATGAGATACTGCGAGTGTATAACACACGACAGTGGATTTTTATTTATTCGGGATTCAAAGGTATTCGTTTTTTGATTGATACAAAATAACGGATTGAAATTCAAATTCTACCGAATTTTGTGTGTGTACCAAAGAAATTCCAAAAGGCGTCGGTGAAGTGCGTGAGACACGCTTTTGTAGGGTATCCAACATTTGCTCTAGAAATTGGTATTGAAATGTTGTAATTCATTGAAAGAAGCATTTAGAATTAATGTATTCTTCTTCCAGCGAAAGAAAAAAAAATGCAAAGGACGTTGAGTTTGGAGCCAACGAAGAAACAAAAAAAAAGACTGTCTAGTGATGCGAATACAAGCTTTGTTGTAATTATGTAAAGGCCATGCAGAAAATGGCACATAGCGACTTAAAATGATTTCGTATGATATGCAAATAAATCGCAAGATTCGCGTATCACCTTGATATACAAATCGAAGAGAGATCGCATATGTGTATGATTCCAGTATTTGACTGTATTTTTTCATTCACCGTTCATTTTTTTGATTAACTGCCAAAGATTCATCTGCGATTTTTTTTTTCAAAACCACAAAGCTTCATATTTTCTTACCTGTTTTGTACGTCGATTTACTTGGGTTTGGTTGATTTATTTTCTCTTTTTTTTTTTCTTCATAATAGCTTCTTTTTCGGAGCCATATTTGTAAGCTCTCGTTTCGTTTCCATTTGCTTAAATTGGTTTTATTTTCGTTTCGATTAAATCTTAATTTTAACTTATTGTATGGAACGATTTTGGTCAAATGAAATGATTTTGGTGCTGAATTCCATTTGATTTTGATTTTAATTTTTGGCCGTCAATTTTTGAACGCGTTAATTTTTACAGTTGACACATACATGCAAATAAATATATATTTTTAAAATACAAAATATATTTACTGAATCAACAAAAGTCGTTGCAGGCAACCAAAAACTCATTATCGGCGCTTTTTGCATGTTTTGCAACAAATAAAAATATTGGCAATTATTATGTCTATCAGCGCAGTTTTCTCTCTCTCTCTCTCTCTCTCTCTCTCTTTCTCTCTCTCTATCTCTCTCTGTGTGTGTGTCTCTCTGGCTCTATGGCTCTCCATTCATTAATTTTGTCGTTGCTCTCATTGCTTCTCCGTCCAAGCTGTTTGTTTATTGTTTTGCTTTGTGTACTGTTTGTCTGGTTGTCACTTAGCAATAATTTGATTGCGTGATTGTTTTTACTCCGTCAATTAAATGGTACAATGAATAAATTATCGTGTTGTCTTTTGGTTCGGGCTGATTTTAATGAACGACAACAAGAAAAAAAAAATTCATACTTCACTGAAATTGTTTCGGTTTTGGTTTTCGTTTGCTTCATTTTACTTTCTTCTATTCCATTTCTTGTTGCCGTAGGCCCAATATAGGTAAACACAAGAACATTTGCATGTAAAAATCGTGTTATAAGAATAAAATAATACGTTGTACTTACCCGCCATAGCGTTCGTCGAGCTCCTTTTGTCGGTTGAGCGTTTTTGTGTCGACCAAAACGGTGCGCGAGCAATCATCCGAGTCCGATTCAATCATTTTAGTGGTGTCCGCTTGCGCTATACCATCCGAACTATCATTTATTTCGCTGGCCGATGTCGGACTGTCAATTGCCAGCAATGTCAGAGGTGGTTTATTGTCTATATTCGGAAAACTTAATTGACGATCAACATCTTTGAACAGTTTGTCGGCATTATTGATGGCTAAACGTATAACGGATGTTGTTGCTTCCGATGCTCTGGATGTAGTTGATTTTTGCGTCTGTTGTTCCATTCATGCGCTTCCCTTCGAACAGTATAAATTGAATTTTGTTTCTGTTTCTATTTCGTGTGGTACAACCAGTTTCAATACCACGACATCACTGCAAGCGCACGGATAAAGCAAAAAAAAAAAATTCGATTAGAATTCCGGATTCGGTTATATGAAATCAAGGCAATCTTAAATGTACACTTATTCAAATTTACATTCAATTGAAATAATCCGAACATCGGATATGACGGCCACAATGCCGAAAATTGCATGCATTTTCATTTAAAATGTTTGCATACTATTTCATGGTGTGTGTGTGTGTGTGTGTGCGCGCGCGCTTTTTTTCTCTTGAAAATAATAAGCGGACTAACGCGGTATGTCCATTTGTTTGCACAAAATAATTTATTGGATTAAATTACGCCAATTTCATTGTCGACTGACCGCCGTATACATTCAGTGTAGTATTTCATTCCTGATTGTCGTTCGCGACGATTCTGTTACTTTTGACTTTGTGTTCATTTTCGATGTCATTTACAATGATAACTTCTGCAATACTACGGTTATCCTTTTTGTGAAGAACAAGATGAATGTCAAGCGACAGAGAAATGATCGCCTTGTTTACATGTCGCGGTATCTTATTAATAAACGATTTCAACATTCATTCAATTGTGTACGTTGCAATTTGTTAGACTTTTTTTGGGTTTCCAATTTCAAAAATGTGAAACAAACACATTTTTACCCGTTCGTATCTACCCACAAATCGCGTGCTTAAATTTCATTCGGCCAAAACTTTGCGTTTTTGGCATGCAGTCGAAACTGGTTGAAACGGTGAAGCTTCCACAATGTGTTCATGACATTTGGTATTAGAAAACATTGACAGCGCTGTGAGCGTATTAAGTGCTTTGAGATAGAACTAAGATAACAAAGCACCGATTGATTGACATTCGTTAGCTTTTACAAATAATCACAGCCCCGTACGTGGCTCTAGTCAAGAGAAATCAACGGAATTGCCAATCTAATGAATCAATATGCACATGATAATAATTTATAATAGATTCAAGCCTTCACATTTGGGCTACAGACTAGAGATTGATTTGAAAATTAGTCATTAGGAGATTTTATAATCCCTTTAAAGTGAATCATGTTCCATCATAAAATCACATAATCATTGCATGAATTGTTTACCAATAATGTCCATGTCTTCGAACAAGAGTGTCTGACGGCTGGTGACAACATGCGATTGGACACGAAATGCAAAGTGTTCACTGTATCTGTTTGTAACCGATCACGTGTCAAAAGCGTTATACCTAAAATCGTGCCAAAATCAACGTTTCGTCAATATTGTGGAAAATTCGTATTTCTGCTTTCTCATTAGTTATTTACGTCTCAGTTTTCCATTCGTAAAGAGAAAAAGATTATTCGCAAAAAAAATGAACTGTGGTTGCACTGTACATTGAGTTCATATGCTAAAATACGGTGCGGTCGCGTATCGTTGAATGTATTCATTTTTCTGTCTATTAATATGAAATGATGAGAACTCGCAATACGACCCAGTTCAATACATTGATTTCCTCTTTTTTTTTCGGGGTGATAAAATGGCAATAAAAGTGAAGGAAAAAACCATGAAGCATATTGCAAAATGACATTGGTTCTTTCAAAAGTGTTTACAATAACCGAATTTTGCAATTGTTTGTATTTCCTCGAAAAAAAGTGCTCGAAAATTTTTGTTGAACCGATGGTTTGAATTCAATACCGTTTGCATTTTGTATGACGGTTGGCTGTTCAATCGTTGTTGTTAGCTGAGAATATGTGAAAATCACTTCTAAGCAACCAAATGCATAATGTCATGTCAGCGGCATTTTACAGAAATGCACAAATTATCTGACAGCAAATTACATTGTCATTAGAAACGTCTAAGTGGATTTGTATAAACATTTAGAGGCGAATACCGTTACGGACTCATGTTTAATTTCGTGGCGGTAATGCATTTCTCAGCCACCAATTGAAGTAGTGAATGTCATTACAGTAAATTAGGGAAAGCCCGTGATATTTCACAACCTAAAATGCATATACTTTTGATAAAATCCATCTTTTTTCTTCGAAAAGACTGCATTGAACGAAATATTATATTACAGGAATTGGAGAATTAGCATTTGTATGCACGTTGATGATAACATTTCTTGAAAATTATGTCATCGCACATCGTATCAGTAACTGCAAACACTAATAGTCGAAACGGAATAGCCGATAAAAATAGTTGAGTTTGATTGGAAAGAGGAAGAGAGAAAAAGAATAAAAAGAAAAAAAAAACACGCTTCTCGCAATAGCGGTCAATGGCATTTGCTGATCAATTAATGCAATTGACGTTTGTGGCTAGTTCATAACCGCTAGTTCATAATGGGTGACATGACCCAATGCATTTCAAAGCCCCATCAAACGATTGCATTGTTGTCGATCGTCACAAAATAAACGATTTGAATAAACATTGCGTCGAATGGTTGCACTTAGAACACAAAATGATAATAATAATAATAACATTTGTTTTAACGACGTTGTGTTGACAACTGCGATTCTGTCATTTTAAAAACTAATAATCAACATTATTAGGTGCACAATATAAAAAATGAATGATTTTTATTACTTGTAGTTCTACTTGAATTTGATAGACGATATCTATGCACGATAACGATAAAGATGTTGTCGCAACTGTTGACATTTCTGCTAAAATGTTTTCGTGCAAATAATAACATTTCCATGGGGAATAGGATGGCGAGTTGGGGAAGGAGTGTAGCAAATGGCGGCGATGGGACTTCAGACTGATGAAATTGCATTTAACAATCAATCAAAGCGACAGCGCCGAAATTGTTTTCGCTACTGAAATTGCGAGACGTAAATGCGAGAATGGAATAAAGTGAAAATGACCATTTCGGGCCACACGCGAACGCATGTCACACCGCAATGAAATTGTTTTACTTTCTTGGAAAATGGCTCGTGCTCTAGTTCGCTACCACATTCTTAGCATAGAAACGCTTTTTGCTCATAGTTCAAGTTCAAAACATTCGCAGTTGGCTGTGACCTTTCGGGCTTTTGCTCAGTAAACACACACGGCATCAATCCTCTGACATGACATGCTCCACACTGACATGATATCTCTTTAACGCTCGCTCTCAGTCATCATTTGCCAGATGTTTTACAACTTTATGATGTGTATTTAATTATATCGATGACCAATCAGTACGGCCATTGGAAATGGCTGTGCGACAACCGGTACCGTATCGACCTGTAAATACGAATTGCGAACTTCGATTGCCAATGAGTAAGAAAATGTGTTGCTTGTATCCAAGGCATATTGATGATGTAGTATCAATCGATTTTCCATTCGTCATTCGAGATCGAATTTTCATCTTAACAAAAAAAATTCAAATGAACCGAAATACTGAGCCAATGGTTTAATGTTAACCCAGGTATTCTATCGCTATGGATTCATATAATATCAAAACGAAACACGAAATTCAGTTCCAGTAACCAAAAGTAATATTGACGAAGAATACGCGAAGTGCGGAGAAGAGCGATGAAGTGAAGAGAAGAGTCACGGGAAATTGCTATACAAAACTTTTATTTCCTTGCTTATTTGTCACACTGCCACTTCGAATCAAGGGTGTCTCATTTGTCTCATATATATTTTCCACCACACAGAAACATATTCCAATTTCAACTGTTTGAATAACATACAACTGTAGAAAGGTTCTTCCACGTTTCTCTTTTTGCGACAATTCGTATTTATGACTTATTTACATCCGGATTGGGGTACCGGAATCCATGTAAAATTTAATTTTAATCATAAGCTTCGGTGGCAACAGGCTTTCTGTGTGTACCATGCAACGAAATTTGAAATACAAGTCATACGGGTGCAATCGTAGGTGGTGTTTGCAAATTTACCTCAATTTTCGAAGAACAATGATAATACTTTTAATTACGTCAATCGCAACGTTTTCCATTTCAGCCATCAACAATTATTTTCATTCAATTTCCCTTTGGTTTTTCTTTTCTTTACCCAGCCTTTGTTTTGAACACTTCCAAATGTATGAATGAATTTATCTCTAATTAATTCAACGAACATTTCAATTGAGAGAAACATTACAGTAAATTAGGATAAGGAACGAAAAAAACAACCACAATTTTCTACTTCCTCTGATAAAAAAATTACTTGTTCGGTTCGTTGCGTTCAAACCACAACCCCTGCACCACACTAACAAAACAAAGTAAAACACGAATTTGCAATGAGCCTATTCAGTGAAGTTCATTTCAATTCTTTACGTCGTTAGACGCACTCATGAACGCGACAAATTGAACGCATCAACAATGTTCTGTAATGAAAGAAACATTTTTTACTTATAAAATTGATGTTTATCACGTGCTATGCTCTCACAAAAATCAATTTTGCACATTCGTGACATTTTCATTTTTTTTGTCTACTTTATTAACAAATATAAAAAAGATTCAATAATACATTGAACGATCTGTGTCACAACTTTTGACACTTGTCTCGTAGCGCTAGAAGTGAGCTGTCAGACTAGAGTGGTTTTTTTTTCGACTTTTTTCGAATTTTACGTCACCAAATAGCTTAATCGTTGCAGAATCATACAAAAAGAAAATTCCAACAAAAAACTACCCTAAAACCTGGGATTGGGACCTGGCGCCCGAGCTATAATTATTCAGATAGCCAAAAATCGCCATTTTTGGCATTTTAAGGTCTTTTTCCTTAACTTTACCGCATGTTTTAGTATATTTTCCACCTTGTGGTCAAAGAACATAACATATATAATATAAAAAAACAGTACTCAATTGATTTTACATCGATTTTTGATCATTTTTAGTGAAAAATGGGTAATTACAGGCAAAATTTCGACAATTTTGTAGGGGAGGTACCCGTAAATCGCTTCTGATTGACTTCAAATTTTCTGAGGTTTCATTTTTTAGAGAAAAAATGAGATTCTGAAAGTTTCATGTTGATTGCATTTGCGCAAGTTTGGTTTTTGTTCCTCAATTGTTTTTGAAAGTTTCTTGTACTTTCTATTTGGTTATACCGCTTCAATGAAGATTCCCACAAAA